AGTATGCAGAGGCAGCCACTCACACCCGAATCCCCATTGTCCTGCAGAACTTCCCTGATGCTCCAAAGCCCTCCCGGCTGCTCTCATTCCAATCACTGTTTCTGGTGCTGAGTCCTGCAGAATAATGCAGAAGGAAGTGTGTGTGTGCAGAAGGAAAGGGAGGACATTTGCTGCTATTACGGGTTTTGTTTTCTTTGGAGACTGGCTTCAGACTTACCATGTAGCTAAGGACAATCCTGAATCTCTAATTCTCCTGCCTCCACCTCCCTGTTGTGAGCATCCTAGGTATGCACCACCACACCGAGATCATTGAGGTTTTATTTTAAATTTTTTTTCTTGGATGTACAAAAGAAAAAAAAACCAATCATGTAAAGGAATTGCAAGTAAATATTGGATACAAATAAAGGATAATTATATATTGGGCCAGCAAGATGGCTCAGCAGGTACAGGAGCTTGCTGCCAATGCTGAGGGTCTGAGTTTGAGTCTCAAGACCCACAACTCAAGCAAATTGTTCTCTCACCTCCACATGCATACTGTGGAACATATGTAGCACCCTCCTCCAAATAGAATAAATGAGGAAAAAAAAAACGTAAAAAGTATCAGAACTGTTAGTATATTGTGTCACTATTAAATTCACTATTAAATTGTGGGCACTCTAGAGCAACCACATCTGCCGGGTTAACACCTTTAATCCCAGCCCTCGGGAGGCAGAGGTAGGTGGATCTCTGTGAGTTTGAAGCCAGCCTGGTCTGTATAGTGAGTTCCAGGACAGTCATAGCTACACAGTAAGACCCTGTCTCAAAACAAAACAAAACAAAAACAAAACAAACAAACAAAAAACCCCGAACATCTGAGAGGCACATGGGTAATTTTAAATGGCCTAGCAGCCCCATTTTTGAAACAGTTGAGTTGGGCAGTGGTAGCACACACCTTTAATCCCAGCACTAGGGAAGCAGAGGCAGGCGGATCTCTGTGAGTTTGAGTCTAGCCTGGTATATAAAGTAAGTTCTAGGACAGCCAAGGCTGTTACACAGAGAAACCCTGTCTCGGGAAAAAAAAAAAAAATTGGTTGAAACCAATAAAACAATCACATTGTCATTTAAATATGTAATAAATATTGTTATGAGATATTTAACTTTCATGTAAACCTTTGGGGTCTGTGTGGTTTTATACTTTCTGCACATCTTCATGAGCAGCTACATTTTAAATGCTCAAAGCTGCCACATGTGGCTGCTAGCTTCCATGTGGGATGGGATAGTTCTAGAAGGTTTCTTGTTCCTTCATTCTCACCCAACCAGGGAGGAAGGAAGTCCCCAGAGGCTTGTCTCTTTCAAGCCTCCTATTGCCGGCTAATTAAATCCCTAAGCAACGGCTGAGTCACTCTCAACTGCAGAAAACAATTTAAGAAATCTGTCTCAGAGCCAAGAACACAGCTCCCCACGTACGAGGAGGGAGGCGAGCCCTCTAGATGAGAAGCCTTGGAGGAGGGAGAGTGCGGAAATCAGGTGCTCCTGTGTGGGAGGGAAGAGGTAAGCCATCACTAAGGGCTGGGGAGGGCAGAGGAGAGAAAGGTCCCAGCTGAGTCATGTTCTTTCAGCCTGTCCCTGAGGCAGGGACTGGGGCATGTTCATTTCGGAGAGACAGAACCCAGGATCATCAACACTCAAGTCTGGCTCATCATCTAATTCATAACCCCTGAGCTCTGGTCGAGCATGCTCACAGTATGCATAGTGTTTGGTACACGGCATGTCCAAGTATGCAGTGTTTACATAGACTGTGTTATCTGCAGGATGCATCATCTATTTGCAGACGGATCTCAGGATCTAAAACTGTCTCCACACTTCCCAGTAAAGGGGCTGTTTCTTTCTCCTCCTCTGCCTTTCCTTTTCATCCACCCACTGCTTGTGGTAGACTCCTGTGAGAAAAGCTGTATGAGGATTGGAGGGAGCAGGAGACGGAGATAGAAGAGATGGAGGAGACCGATACAGAGCGTCAGCAGGAATGAAGATCCACATGGGAGCCATCGGGTCTCTGTCATCTGACTGGGGGCAGGAGAGGGGGGATTGCCAGAAGTTTATCTGTTTCAGAATATCTCATTGACCCCAGCCCCACTAGGCAATCCAGCGAGAAGGCCTTTTCTCCCAAAGACCCTGTTAACACAAAGCTGGAGGCAGCCCAGAAGGAGAAGCAGCGGGGCCTGCCCTCTCTGGCGCCACATTGCTCTGTCGACACCCTGGCTGGCCACTCTCTAGCTGTGCCGCCCTGGACAGTTGGCTGAAGTGTCTCTGCTTTGGACTCTTTTAAAAAAAAGATTTACTTGGTTTTATTTGAAGCATGTGTGCTTTGCTTGCACACACATATATGTACTACGTACGTTCAGTGCCTGAGGAGGCCAGAAGAGGGCGTCAGATTCCCCTGGAACTGGAGTTGCAGACGGATCGTGAGCTGCTGCATGGGTGCTGGGAACTGGATTTTGGTCTTCTGCAAGAGCAGACGATGGTCTTAGGCACTGAGTGTCTCTCTGGCCCCTCTGCTTCGGACTCTTCATTTTAAAGCTGAATAATGAGATAATTTGACGAGATAGGGCTTTCTGGGGGGTGAGCTAAGACAAGATTTCACAGAGCTTGGAGAGCTGGCACTTGAGAACCTGTTTATGTGGGTAGCATGCAGATGCTCCCTGGTCCTTTGCTGGAACCTCACCTCAGAGCCAGTGGGGAAGTTTGTTAAGTGTGAGCGTCCAGACTTGACACTGAGCGGGAAACCCTCCTGGAAGAGAGTCACAAACAAATCTCATTTGTCCTCTGTCCCACAGCACTGGTGTACCAGAATATTAAGCATTCATCTGAATGGTGCCAAAAATAACCAGAGGCCAAGCGATGTGGTGGGAAAGACGTAGGCTGTGGAGCTGCACAGGTCTCCCGGGGAACGGTGTCCCTGTCCTTCGCAGGCTGTGCCTGAGCCTGTTTCTCCATCATTTCAGTGGAGAGTTTGACAGCCTTCTTTACGCTTGGGATAAGGACTAGTTTGTGTCCTATGGTCCGTAGATAGTCAGGATGGAGCGTTCATTTTATTAATGCCAGGCTCTGGAGAGCGTCCCTGGCAGCGGTGGAGCTGTCCAGCCCTGTGCCCAGCATGACAAAGAGCTGGATTTTCTGCAGGAAGAGCCAGTGACTGGACATTGGTGTGCAGACCACAGAGGGCTAGTGGTGCAAGCGGTGGGGAAGCTGGGTGAGCCGAGCAGGCAGTGGAGAAGGTCCTCTATCGGAGTCTCCCTCCTCTCCTTCCTCCCCCTCCTCTCCCTCCTCCCCCTCCTCTCCCTCCTCTC